TTCGCAAAAAGATATTCAGTACAATTGTTGGAACTAATTGGGTACCTACCCTTAATGTTGAGTTTTAGCCAATCACAATAGGAGTTGCTTAATTTATTTCACAACTGGCAGAGTGAACTGATAAATCAAACTCTTACCAGATTTGGTGGGGGGGAACACGGAACCATCTTCCCATCCACAAAGCCAAAAATTGCAGATTTTTGGTAAATTTTCTATAAGAAATAGAGGGTATTCCTGCTAAAACCGGCACAGCTATGTTTTTGTTTTTTTCGCTTCACCCTTTCGCCTCTGGTTGACACGTTAAGGTCATACGCATCACTGCATTTCATTGGTCAAAAAGATTTCTGTATCAAGGCTGGTGCATTTGCTGGCTCCTGACAAGATACATTTTTGGAAGTTTATGAATTCAAAAATCTCCAGAAAATGTATCTTGCTTGCAAGGTAACAAAAACCCAACTTTTTTTTTTACCTATTCTCCTCCAGCTTCAGTATTCTTGAGCATGGGGTACAATCACATAAAAATGGCAGATTCATAATGGCTGGCAGGCTGGAAGTCCATGAGATTGTTTAGAAGCTTCCCTGCAAATACTGTGACATTATTGTTCAAAGAAAATAATAAGGAAAATAATAAGGAATAGAGAATACTAAATGGATTGAAAAATGCACCTTTGCATAAACTGGAGAGACTAAAATTTTTTAGTGATTCTAGAAACTCCAGGTACAATAGGCTGTATTTGATAGGTGAAAAATTGGATTTTGCATCATAGTCCCTTTTAATTATCAACTGCTCTGTTCTACCAAATTCTACAGAACTCTTAATCTTCCCAATATTAAAACCTAAGCCTTTTTCCCAGAGTCCTGGATCAGGTTACTTTGTGTTTTGATTTTATATTACTTAGTCAATGTTAAAATGACGATCAGTTGTACTCAAGGACCTCCTCATCATCGTTAAGTGTCATGCCCCTCAGGCTGTATTGGCCTTTGTTCAAGTGAAACTCCCTCCCTTCTCTCTGTCTGGGCATGACGATGACTTTTCTTGGCCTTTTTCTCTACTTTCTACAAAACCCAATTCTAGAGTTTCAACAGCATAGTGACACTCTATGAGAAAAACACAGTAAGTTTAATTCTTTATAAAAAAAATAAAATAAAATAAACAGAGATGGATATGAGAATTTGAAGATACGTGCATCCAGAGCAAGAAGGAAAAATCACAGTAAACGGTAGGTTAACGGTTGGCCTGAAGACAACAGAAACTGGGCTGCAGGTACAAACATGCCCGACTGTATCCCTGCACAGAAATCAAATATGAAACTCTGTGCTTCAATGCTTAAATCATTTTCATCTAAGCCTCCCTTTTCCACTGCAATAATTTCACCTTTGTCGAATTTTAAGTTTTTTCCTTGCATTAGACCCACACCAGGCAGAATATAACTCGTACTTTTACCAGGTTGCTGTGGTTCCAATCAAAGTTATCTGTTCAGATTTGGAGGCTTTGTTATAGATTGATTCTATGTTTTAATTGACAAACTAAAAGTTTTTCATTTTATGATGAAACTAAATAAAATATGTTATACTTTTGTAGCAATAATCAGGTGAACATCGTGGAAAACCATGTTAACTATACAGATTTTAAAAACCTGTCCCTTTACTACCAAAAATCTATCTGTCTGATTCATTTCATTAAATTAAGTTTGAGTTCCTGCTGTTTCTATCACAAGGCAACCAAATTTCCAGATTTTTATTAGATTAGGTTTCAATAGAGCCTGTAATTCATAAATATTCAGAATAGATACCAGCTCTGACAGTTGTTTCAGACCTACAGTGAGATTAACAGCTGGATTTACTTCCACCAACTCCTCACACACTGCAAAAATTATCTGAAAATAAGAAAAAAATCTTAAATCAAGTGTATTTACCCTTAATTTGAGCAGGTAAATAAGATACGTTTGCCAATGGAATGAGTATTTTTATATGTTATATGTGATAATATGTACTTGAAGTTAGACAATGCAATATTTTTTTCTTATTTCAAATGTAAATTGTCTTGTTCCATTGGCAAAGTGTCTCACTTGCCTCCTCAATTCAAGAAAAAATGCAGTTATTTAAAAAAAAAAGGCTTATTTAGATTTACATTTTGTGCAGTGCAGAACCACAAGTTAGGGATGCCAACTTCAGGCGTACGCTACTACCTTTACAGAATGGATTTCCAAACATTTTGCAATGGTAACCAAAAGTGTGAAATTGAATGTAATCAGGGGCCACAGAATTTAGATGTGCTATAATCATATGTTTCCAATTTTCTTTTTTTTTTTTTTGCTTTTTTTTTTTTTTGCTTTTTTCATACCTTTATCATTGCCATGTCTGAGGGATCAACAAGAACAGGATATAATTCACTATGACTTTTTTTTTTAGCTGCCCTTTCTAAGAAAAAAAATGCATGTTTAATCCACAATTAACTATCAAATTACATCAAAGGAAATAAGTTGTCCAAACAACTTTAAATCTATTCCTAAACTGTAGTCAAGGGCCACACAAAGTCATCATAAAGCCTCCAAATGGCCTGCACTTTGGAAACCCACACTTTACAGACACCAATGATGGTTGATCTGGAGGCCCATAATATTCACTTTTGTTTGTTCATAAACATGATATCCTGTTGACATTCTCTAATGGTGTTTTTGGTTTAATTGCAGGAAAATGGTTTTCTTCCCGCTGCAAACCCAGACATCCGACATCAGACAAAAATGCCATTAACCTAATTGCATTTTTTCATGATGGTTCAAATATGTTCACATGCGCACACATGTGCAGATGTGTGCAAAATGTTTTGCTCTCATGGTGGCTATGAAGGAGGCATTACTACAAACACAGCTGATTTCGAAAAAGTTAAAAAAGTTAGAAAACAAACCTCTGGACTCTGTTTTCCAAGTTTGAAGACGTTTCGTTTCCCATACAGAAAGCTTTCTCAATTCAATCTTTTTTAACTTTTTTGGAATGACTCTGACATGGATGATTCGGAGTCTTCCAGCAAACACAGCTAAATTTGCGAGTTTGCACCTGACTTTGTAACGTGCTAAATATAGATACAAAAACTCTGTTTATGGTTTGATAAATAGATTTGCAGGTGCTAAATATTTACATTTTATTATCTTCCACACAGAACTTTGTTCGATTTGCTCCAAAGCATTTGATTCGAAGATTCATTAAGGCTCATGCTCAGAAAAGCTTGATCTCCATTTTTTGCTAATTTTAGACAGGAGAATCACTTTCTTCCTGGTATGAAGATAAGCTTTGCTCACACCTTTCAGTTTGCACGTGTTTAATACAAAACATGAATTCATAACAAATAATTATTTTTGTATGGATTATTACATAGCTTTTTTGCAAAATAAATAAACAACTTGCAAAATAAATCTTTAACATGTATGAAACCTGTAACCCCAGTGCTTTAGTGTCACAAAAAATGTCCTGTCTTGGAAATTTAAAGACATGGTTGTTTAAAATAAAGCATTTTTTTGCCAAAAAGAAAAAGAAAACTTTAAAGAAAGGCAATGCTTGCAGATCAGAAGTCAAATCTACATGTCTTAAAACAGTAAAGTCTGATGACACTTTGACCAATGTTGCAACATCTGAGGCAGTAACACCACACTACCCTCAGTGAACTTGCTTTTATACAGCTATGCTATTACCACGACCTCATCCATGTGAGGAGAAGCTTGTGTTTGTCATTTTGACAGCTGTGAAAGTGAACAAAACCCTAAAGCTCTCAAAGGTCATAGTTTGATGCTTTGTAAAAAACGTTGAACTGAATTAAGATGACTGATTAAATGTTCTAAAAGGAGGACAAATGCTTTTGCTTCCTTCTTCCTCATAAAGACACCTTTCAGGTTGGACAACAAATGGATTCCTCACTGCTGAGTCTCTGACAAAGTCTGTTTGTGCGTGAAACAGAATAAATACTAGAACGCTTGAAGGGAAAAACAGAGAACATTTTCTTTCCAGCTTGTCATGCTGATTAGATTTTATTTCCTGCAGTGATTGTAAGAAAGGGAACTTTGGGTTTAAAGTCTGTTACATATGTCCATAACAGCTTTTTCAACAAATCTTATAAAAATTGTCTTTTAAAGAATCTTCTTAACTCTTCTACTACATTTATTGTCAATAGTTATTCGAACTTTGTGAAACTTATTTAGGAAAACGGAGTAAATTTAATTTTCCCTACGATTTAGGCTCATTATAGTTGCCCCGCTTTGAATGATTAAGAATCCACACATGTAGTTTGCCAATAGTTTTAAAGACAAGCAAGAAGCCAAATTTTCCTACAGTAAAACATACAAGTAGTCCTTAACTTACATGTGTGGTATTTATCAAATTAATGCAAATGTCACATAAATGTTGTAAACTCTCACTTGTAGGCAATGTGCATTTCTAAATATTGATCATTTGATATGAAAAGGTTTTATTTGAAGGAGCTGTATTACTAACTTCAGATGTATGCAAATTTCACCTCAACTAAATGCTTTAAAGTTGTTTAATCAGTTATTTTAGGGATATTTGCAACTAAAAGTGATAAGCTGTGATTCCTGCTGTAGCGAGTGAATCAGGGCTGAAACAAAAACTGGATTGGGCAGAATGGGAGGCTTAGCCTGGTGACAAGTGGCAGAGCTTGTTTGGCTGTCTCTCACGCCTTCTTTAACAATAAACGCTTTTACTGAAGGCACCTCAACAGTCCTCGTCTGTCCACCTCATTTATTTTGTCTTTAATAGTCTCCCTGAGATATATGTGAACACACAGTGTTTCCTTTCTATTGCTGAAAGTACCTTTAAGTCACAGTACAGTAATTGCTTGGCTTGAACAATTATCACCTTATGACCTCATATGACAGAGTGAATAGACTCTGAAAAGCAGAGATAATGAAACGGGTGTCTGGAAATATACCAAACATCTACAAGTCTGTTTTTTTCCAAAACCTGCTAGGACAGGGTGTTTTTTTTCTTACCTGACATGTGGTCTGATGATCGTCTCACAGCAGCATACCTTATTTTACTAAAGCTGTCAAAGACTTATTCACAAATACATCTGGATTATTGCAGAGCCTAAAAACAAAAAAGAAGTTTTCTCTTTTGGATCCCATCTGGTTTAAAGGACATCACATACATAAGTTATGACATATTTTAGTTTTCTTCTGACTACATATAATCTAAAATTAGCTCTCTCCAAATGGACAGAGCTAATTTTATATACAAATAGTAAAGTATCCAATGGATGCAAGTCTCTAAATAGCTTTCTGAAACGTCCATAGTTATTGGAATGTCGCTCATTTTGTTCACCGACATTCCTCAACACACCATTACATACAAGCACAGCAGCTTACATAGGACTCAAAATTCTGTCTGTTTATAAAATTCTGTCTGTTTATAAAAAATGAAGAGAAGGTTTGCATTTAATGAATAAAATGTGCATCTAGCCAGATGACACAAGTTAAACAGACTTGTGTCTTGTGAACTCAGCGCATCGTTCAGATGCAGACAAGTGCATGTCACAGGCCTTTTAAGATTAACTTTGGATGCCAATTGGCTTTTGTGGAGGTGTGGTTCAAGCTGATTAGCAGTGTTTTGCAACCCATAAATATTGAAGATCTGTTCATGGAAATGTCACAAGAACCTATAATTAAGAAATATTTGAAAGTCACCACGACAACCGTGATTTTCCTCTGTAATAAATATGCATTCAGGAAAGCTTAGAAGAATTTTTTTTTATATACCATTTGCATTGGAATGGCGGTGTTAGTCAATTTCTCAAAAATAACAAAGGCAAAATAATAAAATCATGAACCAGATACAAACATGAATTAATAAGTAACAAGTAAGTGTATCAACAAAAATATCTGAAACAGAGTAGCAACTGGAGGTAGTAAGGAACTGAGAAACCAAAAAAAAAAATTGCTTATTAAAACTACTGCCCTGCTAAACTGTGAGGTTTGTACGTAAATGTAGGGAGTCCATGTTTTGTTCTATCAGGCTGACTGTAGCAGGAATAAAAAATTGCTATAGAAGATTGAGGTGTTTGCAACAATCTGGTCTCTGATATGAAAATGAATTCTTAGTGGTGCTATCCTGTTGAACAGCCATTTTTGCTCAAAATGTTGCTCCTTGAGAAACTTAATCACTTATTTATTGAAGAAAAATATATTATTCTTTTAAATATCAGTTGCAAGAGACTAAAATATTGTTTGTGTATGAGAATAACTCTCATAATGCGGCCCTCAATATATATTTTTTTGTGTTTTTATTGAGTCCATGAGAAAAAAATCAATCAGTTCAATGCCCATTTTATAATTCTTGCGAACTACAACATTTTTAAACAACATTAAAGGTGATTGAGGTTTTTCTTTAAGAGCTATAACCACCCTGAAAGTGTTTCAAGTCTTCTTGCTATTATCAGAGGGATGTCACACCATGTGTGTTAAAAAAAACAAGAGCTGTTCTAAAACAGTTTTATTTTTAAAAAATAGGCCAAGGATTACAGCTGAAAATTTTATTCTATGTCAGATCTTACATTTCCAAGATTAGCGTGCCTCCATGTCCATTCCCGAAAGAAAGACAACCCTTGCCTTTAACGTCCAAGTTACCACGTTTGGTAACCTGGATATAAATGCCACTTTACAGCAAAGAAGGTAAAATTTGTGAGGATAAATGTGATCTGCAGGATCTCTGAGTTTCACTGCTTAATAGAATACCACCAGTGATCTAAGTTTGCCTGTGTGAAATGATACTTAGTGTAAACTAAGTTTAGAAAATGTAATACGTTAAGTTTAAAACTTTAAAAGCTGTGTTAAGAAGCTTTACTACAGCTTTAAAATAAAAAAAATTATAAGCGTAGTTAAAAGGTATGAAAAAAAAATAGCATCAAGGCTCTGTGTGTGATGTAATAAAAAATTGGGGTTTTTTTCACTCTAAGAATTTTTATTGTTCAAATGTGTTTATCACATTAGGACTGTTTCTTGGTAATTACACTGATCTTGATTTCTGCCATATAAATATAGCTGTTTTTATGTTACAAAAGTAATAAGGACTTGTTCTGTTCTCCAGAATTTTAATCAGATTTAACCCTGTAAAGGGTAAAAATGTATTTTTTTGGAGGCCTGTAAAGAGTTAAATCTTATATTCCAAATAGGCTTCCAGGCTTTTAAACTCCTAAATTTTACATGCCACAATCAGTTGTTCATCCTCCTCCTATTAAATCTCTCTGCCGATTTGAAAGCAACTGTTTTAATAATCATGTGTCCTATGTTATCATTTTGTAATTACAAAATTTTTATATCTTGGTTGTGAAATGCTAATTCGTATACCTTTTGCTCCTGACTTCTTTAATAAAAAGAGGAAGAAAGTTAATTAAAAACATGTAAAAAAATAATAATAAAATGTAAAAAAAAAAAAAAAAAAAACTGAGATTACAGCAAGTCCCTTTTTGTGGTTTGTCTTTCTCTTATTCAGTTAACATTTTTTTAAAGATTTCTTTATTTTAGGCAACTCATTCATTACTTTCTTTATAGATCAACTACACACAGATTTGTTTCCAAGCTTTGTTATGATAATAGGAACAATTTCCAGTTTATTATGTAAACTTTTACAATTGAAATAAATAATTGAAAAACTATCATGTTAAAACAGAAATCTGGCTTACTGAAAACTGTAAAATATCTGTTTATGGTATTTTTATAGTTGTTATCCTCATTGGACCATAAAATAATTCACTATCATAATCTCATTGAAAAACATTTTTTAGACTTTTAGGATGAAACCTTAAGGGCTTAAATGTTTTTTGTTCAATATCTAAACTCCTAAGTTTCTTGTTAACATTTTTACAACAAGATCCACCAAATTTGATCTTTGTATCATTTTATAGTACATACAATATCTTCATGGGTGGTTCTAGACAGGTGCCAACGGGGGCCACTGCCCCGGAAGATCATGTCCTGGCCCCTGTTATGGCCCCTGTACTAAAGACGTAATACTCAAAGAAATTCTAATGATGATATGTGCTGGAACAGACATGTTTTTTTTTTTTTTTTGGTTTTTTTACAAATTCTGTTTTACTAATTATTCAAAAAATTCATTTTTTATTTCATTTTTTTATTTCATGCTTTTCTGTGCCCCCATGAAAACACGCTGGCCCCCTCCTGGTCCCCTGATACATTTGGTCTAGAACTGCCACTGATAATCTTTGAAACAAAGGAATCTTCATGATTTAAAACAATCCTGTTCCCTCTGTTCTCTTACTGCAATTAGCATGAACCCACAAATTTGTTTCCTTGGTAACAACGTACAATCTCAAATGAATTGGATGTCCTTCTTGAAACTGTGGTAACAATTTAAAGCAGCTCTCAAACTCCAGACCTCCAAGTCTAGTATCTTGCTTGCTAACATTTTTGTTTCAGCACACTTTACTCCAATATGAGCGCATTTGCAGAGGCGCCATAGCCTGACTGCTGCTAGTAAGGTAGTTTAGCCGTTGGATTCCGGTGCGTAGGGCATGGGACACAACTAAATGCTGCAAAACATCAATCATTTACAATATATGCTTTAAAAGGAAAAATAGATCAAACAAAAAAAAAGTCTACATTTCTAACTTTCTTGCCCAACAAAAACTATCAGAACCCATACGGCTCATATTTCGTGATGTTTCCATTATTTCAGGTTTCTGTTTATTTATTTCAAGTTAAGCAGCCCAGTTGATGCTTGAGATCACTTGTAATGGGTTTGACAACCTAACAAGCCTAACAAATCTAAAAGCAATTTTCTGTGGTGTCTGTATTGTGATTTTTTTTTGTGTTTTGTCATCGAATGATGCCAATATAAACAAAAACCACTGGGTCTCATGCGACAGCTGTGGTATTCATAGTGCCATCTAAACTCTATCTTTTAACAGGAAAGGGAACTAAACATTTAAGCCTAAAAACCAATTGATGTTGGATTTTAGGCTAAATCTGGTCGGTCCATCATAGTTTGATTTAGCTCAGAAATACTTGTTGAAAGATAGGCTGTGTTTGGTTGATCTTTATCCCACTTTAGTCCAATCAAAGATGTTGAGAAGACATGGAAAATCCAAATTTCAACATTTTTCCACAATGTGGAAATTACAGTTTTTTACCTTTCACTTTTCAACCAAACGTAGACATCTTTACGTAATCATGTTATCCAGGTTTTTCGGCCAGTGGGAAAGGGGTAAGTGTTACCGTAGTGATGGTCTACTCCATCCTACTACAACCAATTAAAAATCAGCGGGGTCCGATAAAAGAAAATCATCAACAAGTAATGGTCCAGAGACATTTTTAATTATAATCTGTTACCATATTAACCTCTTAGGAGAAGGAGCGCAAGAGAAGTTAGACACTGTCTTTGGACAACATGCAGTAATTTATCAATGTTTTAAATCAGGTTGTGTCTGGATTAGCTAGCAGGTGGGTCCGGATCCAGACCACGGTCTGCTAATCTGTGACCTCGGGTCTACTCCTTGGTATGTTACATAGATATGTAGCGCCTCTTTGTGCAAAAGCTGGACTCAACACTAAAAGAATGTTTTTGCCTTGCCATGATGAGATTATGTAAGCTTTTTTGACCTTTTAAATTTGATATTCCCAAAAAACTTGGTGTTCAGTGTTGAGCATGTTTCTGGTTAAAAAAACAACAACAACTTAACAGACAAAGCACTGATTTCTTTTGGACGCAAACAACAAAACATCAGACTTTTCATACTTCTTCACATGCTGACAAATTAGAGCTTGTCTCACCACATTTGTGGTATGGTGGCCGTTTCTACCCTTGGGCTAACATGTTACTGTTTGCTTTTGAGATGCTGTGTTCCATGTGAGAGCTGTCTTCAACTTTCCCCCAGAAAAACAAAAAAAAATGCTTTTAATTTGGTAGTTTTCTCAAGGAAAGCAACACATTTTATACAAAATTATACATTTGTTTCTGTTTTCCACTTTATTTAATAATACCAGTCAAACAAGCTGAAAGGTATACCTATTTTTGTAGTTTCATATCTTATATCGTTATTACAGGAGGAATCTTAAATCAGAATTTTGCATCTTTCACATGATACAAAAACC